CGGTGGTAGACTCGAGACTCCAACGACGGCCAGGCGATAAACGCAGCGCCGGAAGGACTTCGGCTATTCGTCAAAGCATCGAATAGATCGAAAATCGAAGGAGCCAAGAGTTGAAGCTAACTACAGGTCCTTTACACCACTGAAGGCTAGACCAATCACATCCAAAGTATTCCAGCCTCTTCTATAAAAGAAACGAGTCCGGAACGCTTTGGAGGGGGTATCTGTAGGCATCGAAAATTGCCTATAGGTCTCCACGAACAGCTCAAAGCTAAGAGAAGACGATGAACGTCACCATCTGGTTCACAGAAGCTTGATTGACGTTGACGAACGCTTGAAGTGAATCGGCAAACTATGTGAAGCAACGGAGTTTCAGAATAATAAAGATACGAACTGATCGAGAGCCCCGTGTCACTTACAAAAGACGAAATGGCCTTCATGTCTCATTTATTCCACAGATTGTCTCGGATCAAGTGGAGACACCCTAGGGTGTCTCCAAGTCAGATTTGGGCCTTAAGATTGTTTTAACTGCTCCGCAACCCCTCAAGCCTATAAATACAAGCCTTAGGCCTTATTTTTTAGAGATCTGGAATTTTGGAGAATTGGCGAAGCCCTGCCGGACTGAAGAGTGATCGAGCACTTCAACACAAATTTTGGAGAATTGGCGAAGCCCTGCCGGACTGAAGAGTGATCGAGCACTTCAACACAAGAGAGTTCTTTGTCAGATCTACATCACCCGCATCCAATCCTTAGTATTATCCCGTTGTGGTAATTCTAAGAAGAGCAATTATCTCGCTTCGTCGAGATAAGCGCTTCAGCTTCTAGATCTCCTCGCGGATCGACGAAGCTCTGGACCAGATCTGATTGCCAGATCTGATTGCCAGGTAGTCCACGGATATCAACATCCCCGTCACAGGCTAAAGACCCACGCAAGCAAGAGACGACGAACGGATCTTGTGTTATTTTCAAGAAAGTTGTAATCTTTTATTCTTTTGTTATTTGAATTCATTTGTAACGTTTGAAGTTTAATGAAATCAATGACTAAGGCAACTTTCGACGAAAACATGCGTCGGGGTTAATCCGTGGACCACCGCGCGATCTAGATCCGGTCGGATCTATACGGTATGACGGGTGTTATTTCACGAAGGAAATAACAGTCGGGGGTATTATTTCACCAAGGAAATAATAGCCCGTAGTAATCGAGATCGACAAAGCGAAATCGAGACTCTTCTCGGGATCAAAAACCAAGTTTTGATCCGGAGGGAAACCGTGTAGATCTCAGATCTGATCTCTCTCGAACTCCTGCCTTATTTGGCGTGGATGATCGCCAAGAACCAGATCTGAGTGTCCGAGTCTTCTAAGCTTGAAAATCCGAGGGTGAGTTCTCAATCCAGCAGAGTTTCGCCTCCAAAATTCCAACCCTTAACAAATGAGCCATGCCCCTCTATTTATAGGCACTCAGACCTGTGCCTTGGCACAGGTGGCCGGCCAGATCTGAGCGTGGCTCGGCCAGCCATCCTTGGGTGGCTCGGCCACCGAGCCGCCCGAGTGACTCGTCTTTTGGCCGGGCTTTCGCCGTTGTGTCCGTTGTCCGGTTTCGCGGTTTATCCAAGTTTTATTGTTGATCTGTACTCTGATTTGGAAGTCCGGATCCCGATTTAGCAGTAAATCCGCCTTGGTGTTTAACCTCGTCGCCTCGATGGTTCGTTGGTTTGTTGAATCACCGTGCCGAGCTGTGTTAGGGGACCTATAAGCAATTTTATACGCCTACAGTCAGTGAAGATAAAGCTTTTGTAGAAGACGAAGTTCATCAAAAGAAGTCCACAAGGCTTGCTACACAGCTAGACTCGACCATCAAAGATGAAGCCCACCATATAGCGTAGCTCGCTTTGTCAGGCGAACCTCGTTGTGCATTGAGGCTTGTTTCATCTAACGAACCTCGCCACGCAACGAGGCTCATCTCACCAAGTGAGGTTCGACTCTAATGGTCTTAAAGACCTAATCAGCCCACGTGGACTAATTTCAAGGAGTCAGTTACGCTTCTCAACCCTACGATCAGCACGTCAGTTACGCACTAGAGGCTTATAAATAGCCATAAGCAACTATGAAGAACAAGTGGGGAGAAAAAAAGAGAGAATTCAGAAGTTAAAGAGAGAGGCGCTCCTTTGATATTTGAACCTTGGTTCTTATGATCTAAGTGACTAACAAAGGCTAATCCTCTCCTTGAATTGAAGCGATCTTGTTCTGATTGTTAACGGGAAGCAAGCTCGACTCAAGCATCGAATGAGGAATCCTTTCGCGACACAGAACCCACGTTAAACAAAGGAGAAGTCAAATCAACCTTCTCTTCTGTACTTGAGAAAGAGCGATTGTAACGAGATTCTTACTAGTTGATATAATCTTTTCTCAAAACTAAAACAGTTAAGAGAATCAATTGTTTCGTCTTTTTTGGACCCTATAGCCTAACATGCTTGTTTGCACGTGCTTTGCGTTTTTTCCAACTCTTTTAGCGGAGTTAGTCACATAGAACTAAAAACTAGAACTAGAATAATTTATAGGACAAATTTTATAATGTTAGTCAATTAGAATGAGAACTAGGATAAAGTTATACGCTATTAGTTAATAGAATTAGATAAAAAGTAGAACTAAGATAATGGTAAAAATCATTATCCCACTTTTATCATATTTATATAGAAAAATGAGTTCTAGTCTCTCAAATTGTCCTAAAATTTAAAGTAGAACTAGGTAGTAAAAAGCTAGAACTTTCTTATTTGCTTCTTTATATTTTTCATATTTCATTTCTCCATCCTCTTCAAATCGTACAATAAGATTAAATCACATCACTTTTTATCCTTCTATTTAATGTTATTTTCATTTTTTATTAAATATTAGAATTCTATAATTATTTTAAATTAAAAGAATTACAATATTTATGTTTTATTTAAAATTAATTAAAACTAAGAGACAACAGAAATATGTCTAGCAGATAAAAAAAAAGAAATAGAAAAATGGAAGACTTTGTTTTTAGATTTTATTAAATAATAATTCCAAAATAATTGAAAAAGTTATAAATTATTAATAATATCTTATAGTCTATCCAATAGTTATTCAAGATTAATTAACATTAAAGTAAATTATTATTATTATTATTATTATTATTATTATTATTATTATTATTATTATTATTATTATTATTATTATTAAAATTTAAAATATATAAATAGCAGTCGTATCATCAAAATGCATAACTTATATGCTTCTTGATTATTGCAAATTATCCCTAATTTATTAATAGTTGTTTTATTAACATATCCCGTTTTAATAAATTACTCCCAATTATCCCACTAAAATGTCCCATTTTAAAAAAATTATCTCATACTAAAAAATGTTCTACTTCTAATAAAAATGTTCCAATTGACTAACATCCCCTCAACTTGTGAACATGACTCCACACATGACCTCTTCTTAGCGATTCAACAAAACCAAGCCATCGCCTTTTGAGTGAACCAAGCTAACCACTAATTCAAATAGAAAATCGGTGAGTCAGCATTTAGCCAATTTGAGATGTCCCCTTATGCTTACCACCCGTCCGTATAAAAGGGACCTCTCTTGAACGTAAGAAGGTTAACATACATGTGATTACCGCATCCGCATGGATACACACATCTGCCAGCCACGCCTCTGTTATTCGTCGGACATCCATTACCATCAATCTTTTCTTTGTTTTTTTTTCTTCCTCTTGATTCTTGTTGCGCTGATCTTCATTTTCACACGATATCTATCCTGCAAACTCTTTCTCGGATTCATCACCATCGCTCTGATACCACTTGTTGAGGATATTAGTCTATGTACTACAATCTTCACAACTTAAAAGCCAACCACAATCATCAAGATGGAAAACTCTCACAATTAAGAAGAAGAACACTGCGGTTTATGTGGTTCCGTCGACTAACTTTGACCTACATCTGGGGCTACAATATGAGAATTCATTATGTATTAGGGAGAACAACAAGAAAAACCACTCAATTCTCCTCTCTCAATCTTTCAAAATCACATACATAATCAACCACTCATATTTTCTCCAAAGTCATCTCCTCATAATTTTTTGCACGGATAAATATTGTCAAAACCTCTCCTCTTGCACACTATCTTAAATCTAATGTGCGCCCTTTGCTGGCCCAAGTTAGCCTAAGTTACAAGAATAATGACTCCATCCTCCTTTTCTCTCCTTAGTTTTTACTCCAAGAATGAAAGACTATTTGCAGAAGAATCAAAACCCTATATCTAATGTATCTTTTCAATTAAAATGGGATATAATAATAAAACTCAATATCCTAATCATGATAAACATCTAATCCCATTTAGTTATTATAAAAAGATACATTCACAACGTTAAAATTGCCGAAAATAACATAATCTCTCTCTTTAAGAACCAGAGATCTCAGGAGCAGTAACAAACATTTAAAGAGATCTAATTAACCGCTGATAGGAGACAAAGAAGAGCATCATTGCGATATGAAGGCTTAAACAAGTGGCCAAGGGCGAGGAACCTCGCAACATTGCACTTGCACAATAGCCCACACAACAATAATAAAACTCAATATCCTAATCATGATAAATGTCTAATCCCATTTAGATATTATAAAAAGATACACTCACAACGTTAAAATCACCGAAAGTAACATAATCTCTCTCTTTAAGAACAGGAGATCCCAAGAACAGTAACAAACATTTAAAGAGATCTAATTAACTGTTGATAGGAGACAAAGAAGAGCATCATTGCGATATGAAGGCTTAAAAAAGTGGCCAAGGGCGAGGAACCTCGCAACATTGCACTTGCACAATAGCCCACACAACAAGCCTCTGCAGAGACAGAAAGAGACACATGGAGGTCCCACCATCCCCACCAACTTTGTGTATGTGCTGCAAAGCCTTGGGATTAGATGCATTGTATGTAGCCCCACAAGGCCACAACTCCTCTTTTATCTATTAATAAAACTTGAAATTATATTGATTACGGAACAAGAAAAAGAAAGAGTAAAGGGCCGTAAATAGAAGCATCTCCTTCTCCTCCTCTTATATTCCCCTAATAAAACTCATTCTACACAATCAACCTTTTCTGTTGATTCATCTTCCACTCCTTTCGCTTCTCTCCTCACAAGAAAGAAAAAACAACAACAACTGCAACCATCCATAACAATATAGGTATGGCTTGCTCCCTCACTTATATATATATAATAATGATGAAATCTTAAACTTTATGCTTACCCATGTAGAAAATTATCATTCATTTTTTTATTTGCTCATCAATTTTTTTATTTTCATTCTTTCAGGTTGTAGAAGAAGGAATTTTCCTTTGGGGTCTTCTAATTAAGTGATGAGATTGAGATTTTGACAAGAAATTTGATTCTAATTAAGTGCTAATTTCTCGAGCTTTGGGAGGAGGCGAAAAAAAAAAGTTCTGCAAGTTAAATTAGATGAATTTTGAAGCATACAGGTTAAGAGATTTCGTTGATTTTCTATTTTATTGGTGTGGATTAATGGAAGCCAGAGCAAGGAGTAATAATTTGGTTAAGAGGACCCAGTCTCAAACGCTTAACAGAAGGAAATCATTACCTGCAAACTATTTCAGTGTTGAATCATTTCTTGTGCTTCTCTGTGTAACTGCTTCCCTATTGATTCTACCTCTGATACTACCTCCATTGCCTCCTCCCCCGGTGTTGCTTCTTCTTCTTCCTATTGGAATACTGGTTGTGCTACTAATCTTGGCATTTATGCCTTCGGATGTTCGAAACATCGCCACTTCTTATTTGTAATGAAGAATGCAGAGAATTTGATTGATCCACACATAAAAGAAGATGAGTATAGTGGTTAATCCTTTTCTACTTGATTTTGTTTCATTTTGTTTGGCTGTACTTGTGTGCACATTGGGGATTAGTGCGTGATAGAGCCAATTTAAATTCAAGTATTGTATGTGGTAGTGATGATTAGCGATCAAAGCCTTGCAGATTAAGTAAATGATGCTTCATACGTAAAAATGAGTCCTAAGTATGTGAAATTTAAGAGAAGAATTTTTAAGTTTTTTATTTTTTTTATTTTTTTGGTGATCTTTTTTAATTATATTCTTGTTGTTTATTAGTGTGCTTGTGAACAATATAGAGGGAATAATAAAAACAGGTTTTGCTTCGAATCTTTATCTTTGATTTGCTTCGCTTCTCGATTGTTTTTGGCACCAGGGTGTTAGAGCATCTCCAAGAGTGATTTTAGGTTTTCCCTATATTTGAGAAACAAATCTCTCATCCTAGAAAATAGGGAGCCAAATAAGGAGTAAAGTACTCCAACAATGCTCCCCAAATAGCTCCACATCTCATGTCTTAAACTAAATATAGGGAGTAAGGGGAGGGGGGTTGCTCCAACAATGCTCCTTATGTTGAGACTAAATATAGGGAGTCACTTTGTTATCCTTGATTTGGAATATCAAGTCTCATTCCCTATATTTAGTCTCCAACATATGGAGCTTGTGGGAGCAACTTTTTCCCTTCCTACTCTCTATATTTAGTCTAGGACATGAGATAGGGAGGTTGTTGGAGATGCTCTTAAGCAATGTAGCACTTGCATTGAATACAGTTAAGACCACTTAAATTCTCAATAAGAAAGTTCTACTTAAGAGATATTTACATCAATGACTAGTGATGTGCACTTCCATATGAGATCTTTTTGAGAGTTCATCAGATCCTAGCCTAATGATTGGGCTCCAAATTTTAGTGGTGGCCATTTTGGAATTTAGAAGTATTTGGTCCAATTTTAGCTTGTATATAGTGCATAAGGATGATGATCAAACCTTTCAGATTAGGATCTGATGATTTCCATATATCTACAAGGACTGTAATACTTGCTACACGCTGTCGGCTAAAATGTTTTGAAGAAGAAATTTTCTAAATAAACCTATTTATATATTTTTTTTAAAATCGACTCCCTTGAGTTTTTTTTAAAATTGAGTCACTTTCTTGCCACTTCAGCATCGTGGCAAGAAAGTGGGTCGATTTTTTTTTAATTCGTTTCCTAAATAGTCGGGTTTGCCAACTCACAGACTATTTAGGAGGTTGCAAAACCCTAATTACAACCCTAAATCCTAACATTTTATGCCCTAAATAGTCAGGGTTGGCAACTCCGACTATTTAGGAACCGAATTAAGAAAAATCAACACATTTTCTCGCCACGATGCTGACGTGGCGAGAAAGTGGGTCGATTTTTGTAAAAAAAACTCAAGGGGGTCGATTTTAAAAAAAGTGTGAATGGGTTTATTTAGAAAATTTCTTCAATGTTTGAAAGTTCCTTTTGTGGTGAAGATTTACGTTGTTTTCGTTCTGTTGTTGTTTGCCACGTTCTAGATCCACGTTCAATAGGTTGTTCTTTGCTATTTTTGATGGTTGATCAATCTTAAACTGATGATTTTTGTCCCAGATAAGTAGATTTTTGAATGGAGATTCCACAATATCAGGCTTAACTTTGCAAAATCGAACACAGTCAAGATAAAGACTTTCTGATCTTTATCTACAAGAAATTGTGGGGACATCTGGATCATGATCAACGGGAGGATGGTTTGATTCATATTCTCTACGCATAGATTTTCTTTTTATTGCACTACGTATAGATATATTAATCAGTGGTAAATTTGGTGATTTCTATTATCTTTGTGCTTCTTATCCTGCAGATTTCACACAATACTAGAACATCTTAGGGTTAGTTTGGCAAACCCTTTTAATTTGAGCCAAAATTGATCACAGTCCAGCTTATAGAGATAAACTGTTTTGTTTTGATTTAGAAAGAGAGTGGATCAAAACATAAACAGTTTTGTTTTGATTTAGGAAGAGGACTGATCAAATTGAGCTAGTTTTAGAAAGCTTTTTTGGTCTAACGAGGCTCGGCTTTTTCCGAACAAGATTTTTTTTCAAAATAGACTATGATTACTCTTGGTTTCTTTTGAAAAGTTGCCATACAGAACCAAAAATTTTGGCTGTCTTTGATCTGTAGTTGGCAAGACATGATTAAGCAATAAGGATTACGGATGAATGGATTCTGGCTAAGAGGTATGCAGTTATTGGCAATAACAGATTGGTTGCTATGAAATTCTTTTCCTAGCACTTGTACTAAAACAAATTTTTCTGTACTTCAAATCCAATTGCTTTACATTGTTTCGGACTAATATGCCTTCCATTAATTTAAATTAGGGGGGGTGGGGGTGGTTATATTTTGATATTTTGACAGGCACAATAACGTTACACAGACTATTTAAACTCTAGAATGTTAAAGTGCAGAAAAATATAAATATAAGAGCTTTTTTTCGTATTTAAGTGCGGTTAAGCCCGTTTAGCAGCTTAGTAAAGTTTCCAGGATTTCTTGTTTAAAGATGGTCATTCATTGCGGATGGAATTGTGTTGAGTACAACTTAAGATTTATTTTTGAATATCTTGGATGGTTGAGCTATTCGTGCTAATGGGAAGAAGAATGCAATTCGTTTACGTATTCCTTCCTGCTTCGGGCTCAATTATGAAGCGGTAAGAAAGAAATTTGAGTGTATGATTTGCTTTTCCTGGCATTCCTTTCTAAAGAAGCTGCAGAGAAGCTATGCTCTAGGTTCTCTGTACTTGGATTTGGTGAAAAAATATTTGTGCGTGTTTTCTTCTTAGTGTTCTTGCTTAGAAACCTAATCATTTGACTTTGATTTATCAAAAAACCCACCTACTTCTATTTGCACCCTTAAACTCAAATCTTAGGTCCCGCTTGGCAACGGATTAGTGGAAAGGTTAAGAGGGTTTAACCCTCCCTTAACCCTCCAAATAGCGAAGATTCTCATTGGATTTACTAACCCGCACGTGATGGTGAGATCCTTAGTTAACTCGTCAACTGACGGGTTAACAATTCCGCCTTCGCCTTTTAAAGTACGAGTTCGGGAAAATCTTTTAATTTCAATATTACCCTTAATTTTTTTAAATGTTATATTGTTATCCTACTCAATATTCTAATTATCCCATCTTCTTTGAATTGGTTATTAAATGATTTATCTACTCATAATGAGACTTAACATGTTATTGGATAAAGGAGAAACGTTTGATATAATTCAAATCATTTACTTATTTCAATTCGCAGAGAAATTTAAAAAACATATGCTAGCTAACACCTAAAATTTTGGGACTGTGTAAAAAATATCTTTCAAATTTTTTAAATTGTAAAAAACGCCTTACAAATTCAAAATTTTATTAAAACATCTTGAAAATTATAAATTTTACTTAATTCAATTTAGTAAGAAATCTGAAAAACATATGCTAACTAGAAACTGAAAGTCTTTTGACTTGGAGAAAATGTCTTGTAAGTTTTAAAAATTGCAAAAGCACCCCTAAAATTCAAAATTTGTAAAAAACATCTTAAAAATTTTAAATGTATAAACACACTAAAAATGTATAAATAACACAAATAACCTTAGAAAATTTACAGAATTTGCAATAAACATTCTGAATTTTTTATAAATTACAAAATAAAACCCTCAAAATTATAAAATTTATAAAAATCCTGATAATTTCCAACGTAACAGTACATTAAAAATATAAAAGTTGTAAATATCACCTACATAATTTATAATTTATAGAAAATATCATTAAAGTTTCAAAAATTACAAATAAAAACTCAAATTTCAAATATTACAAAAAAACACCCTAAGAATTTCAAACTCATTAGTAAATTGAAATTATAAGAATTATAAACAACCTATAAACAACTTACAATCTATAAAAAATGCCTATAAGTTTAAAAAAATTATAAAAAATCCCTACCATGAGAATTTCTAACCTATAGACACTAAAATAAATATAAAAAATTACTAATAATCCCTAGAAAAGTAAAAAATTATAAAAATATCATATTCCCTTTAAAAGTATAGGTTTAGGAAAAACTTTTCACGGTCAATATTACCCATAACTTTTTTTAAAAGAACATAACTAACTAAAAATCTATTTTACAAAAAAACACCCGGCCCTTAAAGTTTAGTACATTGCAAATTACCCCTCCAAAGTTTGAAAATTTTCATTGGTTTTTTGTAATTCCTTAATTTCAATGTAATGATTAATAGTTTTGTATATTTATAAATTATAAATTTTAGGGTTTTTTGTATAATTTTTAAAACTTTTGAGGGTGTTTCTTATATAGTTTTTAAAATTTTATTGTGTTTTTAGTGTAATGCATAGATACATTAATTGATAATGATATTGAAGAGTAATTCATTCTTAAGATATATTAGGTCATAGTTAAGTATGCACATCACTATTCCTAAACAATATAGTTTATATATACAAAAAATTTTAGACAATCATATAGTGGTTAAAAGGATTTTGATTTTAATTTATTATTTTTCGTAAATTATATTTAATGTGGACCCACTATTTAATTCTGACTGTGATCATCATAATTTAAATTCTTTTGATTGATTGACTAAATATGTATATGGACCATAGATTACATTACTTTCTCACATGAACTAATATTTGGTGCTTGATAATTTAAATTATTACTTTTAAATTT